GGAGGCTGGCAGGCATGGGGTGCCTACGTCACTGCTCTCTGTATAATCAGCGTTAGGTAATGCCGAGCTGATGTTTTTGGTTGGTTTTTTTTTTCCTTCCCCACTTGGTGTTTACATTTCTAAGAAGTGGCTGACCGTGAACATCCGGTTCCACCTTCACTTCTGGAAGAGTCAGATACTGAAGTTTGCTCTGTTGCGTTGCTCATGTGGGTGCAAGTGTGAGCTTTTGAGTTTGTGGCTTGGGTTTTTCTGGTGGGTGCATGGGTTTTTCGTGTTTAGCCAGAACTACTTTTTAACCAGTGTCTCTTCTCCTTTCTCTTCTATCCATTGCCCCACGATGGATTTTGGTGCTTCACCTGTGTGGTTGGCCCGGCTCTCTCATCTCTGGGTAAGTACCTGTTTTGTTAGATCAGTGGCAGAAATAGTTGAAACAAATTGCTTTGACTTAATGATCAGACATATTGAAATAAAGAACTGACCTATTTATTGTCCTAAACTCTGAAGCATTGGTTGTTGTCAAACACCATGATTTATTGTCTGTGTGTGTGTCAAGATTTTGGATATTAAAAAGCACTTAGTTGGCCTGGAAATTGCTGTATTTTATGATATGAAGAAGCCCCCTGTATTAGTTTTTCTTACAAGCCTAGGCTGTGGAGCACTGACCTGGGGATAAAAACACACTTTAATGCCAGCAAGTGAGCAAATGGAAGGGAAAATATTTTTGCGAATGGAAAGCAATGCTTGCTGTTCTTCCAGGATGTCTCCTGACACCTGTTGGTGGCAAGTCAGCACTGTGGTTGTGAAAGGGGCTCTCTGATGGCACTGGACTACCTCACCCTTTGCAGACCATGGGTGTTTGGGGCTTTGCAGGCCATGGAGAGGAGGCTGAGGCCCTTCTGGCAGGAGAGGAAGGGAAATGCGTGTCGAGCTTGGAGAAGAGCATTAGGCACTGATGATTTCAGTTTGTGTTCATGGAGCGCCTGCTTTGCATAGGGGAAAAATTGCCCTGGTGGGTGGATTCTGATGGTTTCCCTGCAGAGGTTTGGTGCCTGCCATGAACTTGGCTGTGAGGTGGTGTTTGTGTATTAAAGCCTCTGAGGACAAGGTCTGTGTGCTCAGGGTGGAGGGAAGGAAGGGATCTGCTTGGTGATGCTTTTTCTCTGGGTGCAGTGGTGCCTTTGCATCGAGGTTGTGTTCTCTGGAAACTTCAGTAAGTTCAAATTTACTTTTTTTCTTTTTTTAAATTCAAGCTGTCCTCCTGCTAAGCTTTCCCCTCTCCATCACTCCTCTTCCCCAGTAACACCCTCTCCTCTCCTAGTAAGGGAAAGGGCTGAGCACATTTAGAGCAGCTCTGCTCCGTGCCTGACTATTTCATGTGCTGCCAGTCATTGATGAAAGACTTGAAGGGAAAGCAGAGGAAGGTGCTGGGAACAGATTGCTTTATTCTTAAACTTGACATCATTATACAATGCCTCATGCCAGGGCAGGAGAGATGAATCAAATCCAAGCATAAACCTGTTGTTCTTACTCAGAAGTGAGCACTATATTTGGAAGATGAGCAGCTGCCTCCTGATCTGAATGAGCTTTGCTACCAAATCTCCAAAAGCAGGATTGTTAATTAACTAGAAAACCTGCCTTGGTTAGAAGTGCTGAGCTCCAACCCCACCAAACACCCAGCAGCCATTTGAGTGCAGAATAAAACTCCTCCGCGTGGAAGGTACAGCTGGGAGCTGCTGTGAGCTTGGATGTGGAGCAAGATACAAGTGCTCACTTGCATGATGGCTGGAATGGGTTAGTGAGAGGCAAAGCTGTTCCAGCAGAGCAGCTGTGCCAGGGCAACCTGGAGCAAGTCCTTGGCCAGAGAGTCTTCCAGCTCAGTGCTTGAGCAGGGCCTCAGGACAGTCACCAATCTGGCTATCTCTGTTTAACAAGTCTCTGTTCAAGGGTGAATTTCCCCCTTGTGAAACACTGATAACCCAGACCATCCCTGGTTTGCACTCCCTAGAGCAGTCCCCATGTTACTTTTGTCTGTTTTCTTGCATGTATTGCACAGAGGGGAGAGAATTGCATTTTGGTGATCCTGCTTGTTACATGCTGTAGAGGTTCTGATCATGATATGATATGAAATTTGCTGCTTGCTGAATAATTGGTGTCAATCTTTATCAGCAAACAAGAAAGCCATATGGTACCTTGTTAGGGATAGCAAAGATAAAGGGGGTGTGGTACAGTATCACTGGCTCAGGGACAGCACTGACCTTCACTCAGCAGAGAAAACAGCAGGCTCAGATTGCCTCTCCTTCTTTAAGCCTAGCTTGTCTCATAGGTAAACATAAAATGCATAGGAGTTTTGGTAATATATTTATATTAAATATAAATTTAGTAATCTCCTCTCCTGACCTGGTAAGTGTTGGGCAAAGTAACACACCAGCAGCTTCCATGGAGAGAAGCTGGAAGTAGCTGTGGGGCAGAAACCGTGAAGGAAAATGCTGAAAAAGCTAGAAAACCCTCTCTGCTGGGAGTTTTGCTCTTGACCTTCAAGCTGAAATTCACATATGTTGCCATTATTTAAAGCCTGTCAAGAAATCTAAGGTGAGGTCACTGCTGAAAAATTCAGAGCTGTGTCTGTGGTGGTAAGTGCAGGGTGTCCATTCATGGGCTGTGTTTGGGCTCTGCCTTTCCGTACAGTGGCACCGGTGATGCTGGAAACCACGTGCTGTTATCTATCTATACATGTTGTTTCTATCCATCCTAGAATTGATGGGGGACCTGGAGAAGGGCACTGCTTTGCCCTTGAACAGCTTGTTGTGCTGTGAGTTTCTCTCCTTAGTTCTTGTTTACACATAGCCCAAAGAGGAAGAACAAATGAGGTTTCCAGCACATTTCAGTGAGATTTTCTTCTTCAGCCTCTCCTGTTGGTTGACAGTGCCTGAACATGAGCCTGGGTGTGCAAGAGGGCAAATGGCACGTGGCCTGTGTGAGCACTAGTGTGGCCAGCAGGACTAGGGAAGTCCCCCTGTACTGGTCACTGGTGAGGCCAAACCTTCGATCCTGGTGTCAGTTTTGGGCCCCTCACAGCAAGAAAGACATTGAGGGGCTGGAGTGTATCCAGGGAAAGGAACAGAGCTGGAGAAGGGGCTGGAGCAGCAGGAGCAACTGGGGGAGCTGGGGTGGCTCACCTGGACAAAAGGAGGCTTGGGGGGACCTTCTGTCTCTCCATGGCTCCTTGACAGAAGGGAGCAGCCTGGAAGAGATTGTCAGGGAACAAGGGACAGGATGAGAGAAAATAGCCTCAAGCTGTGCCAGGAGAGGTTTAAGTTGGACATTAGGGAAAAGCTTCTTCATGGAAAAGGTCATCAAGCACTGGCACAGGCTGCCCAGGGCAATGATGGAGTCCCCATCCCTGGAGGGGTTTAAAATCTGTGTAGATGTGGCACTTAGGGGCATGGGTTACTGGTGGGCTTGACAGCGGTGGGTTAATGATTAGCCTCTTTGATCATGAAGGGCTTTTCTGACCTAAATGATTCCATGTTTCTATGGAAATGTGGCAGCAAGGTATCTCTTCACTTGTCCCACACTGTCAGAAGAGACCATGGTGTCTAACATGGTGTCAAGTTCTAGAGCCAGCTTAGCTCAGTGTTTTCACTTTGTTGCTTAGTAAAGCAGTGAAAACAGTTCTCATTGTGGCGTTCAGAATAGCAGTGCTGCCCTCTGAATTACCATCTAATTAAATGAAAGCAAAAACTCCAAAACAAGTGAGCTTTCTGTTGCATAAGAAAAGCTGTTTTGGTTGACCTAAAAACCGACATTGAAAACCAGCCTAAACAGAGATGCTTTCCCTCCCAGCTCCGTGGGCCATGCAGAGCAGTTGCTACTGTTCTTGGAGAGGCATTCATGCCGTGGCAGCTGTGAGCCCACTTCAAAACAGTTACGCCTTTGAGACTTGCCTCCCTTTTGCTTGATGGTTGGAGAAACCCTGCTGTGGAGACAAATAATTAGAAATAAAAGATGGCAGCTTAATGATTATTAGCTTTTCTGATGCAGCCTGCAGTGAGTGCAGGGTGAGATTGGCATCTCCAAGCTGCTGCTGCATCTCCTGCTCCAGAGATTTACTGTGTGCACTGTTACTGTGCAGCCTCAGTGGACCTGCACAACACCCTGAATTAACAGAGTTATTTATTTTAGTAGCAAACTTTTTCAGACTCTTGGCAATTAACTGTGACAATGGCAGTATGCTTCCTGCCCTTGGCTCCCTGTCTCTCCATCCATGCCCAGAGCTTTCCTTCGCTACCTTATCCCCCTCGCCCTCCTCAATTTCTTGGATTCTGTCTATTAATATAAACCACTTTGGGTTCTCTTAATAAAATAAGCATGTAAAGTTACTACCTTAAAATGCCTCAAAATGCCTTATTTTGAGCTCCAGAAAATCTGGCAGCAGTGGGATGCTATCCTCTGGGATTCTGTCTTATTGATATTCATCTTTTTGAAGCTGGTATCCATGACTGCCAGTTTCAGAGGTTAATATACTGCATTTCAAGCAAGCTGAGGTCTTTTTAATTTGTGATATGGAAATGTGCACCAGTTAATCATTGTGCACCTGCAGAAATGCTTCTGGGCAGACTTTGGCTGTGCTCTGTCAGGTTCTGGGAACATCCATAGGCAGGACTCAAAGTGACAAGACTGATCCAATTCAGTAGCTCAGGACAAATCCTGCAAGGTCCAAGGACGTGTCAGGCAGGGGACACCCTGCTGACCAAGGTGTGCAGAGCTTTGGCTCTTATTTGTGGAAAAAATAATGGTTAGAAGCTGTATTTGTTCTCCACAGCTAAAGTTTAATTTAAATAAATGTTAGGTTTTGCCAAGTGTCCCTCCCTGATGCACAGGTCTAGCCCTCAGCACCATTTGCTGTCTGTTGACTGAAGCTGGGTTCACGGCCTTTGGGATATGTTAGTGCAGACTCGAACACTCTCTGCCAAGTATCTGCCTTAAACTCACTGCTAGGTAAAGTTAAATAGTCCTGAATAAACCCTGATCTTGAAACTGTCCTTCCCCATACCAAAGAGCTCTAAGCATTTTGAAGCCAAGGGGGGCTCTTTGCCCAAAAAGAGATTAACAGAATGGAGTCCAGTCTCCTTCACTGAATTGGTGCCTTTCTGTGGAGAAGCTGCAGCTGAAAACACACCTACCTGGTGTTATTTAAAGAAGCCAGAGCCTCTCTTGGCTACAGTTTGACTCCTCATCTATGCAAAGAGTAAATCAGCCCCTGACATCTTTTGTTTGTAGTGCAGCTTGGCTGCCTCCCGCCTGGAGCTCTGGTCTCTAGGTGGCAGTCACTGTTATTTTTGGGTGCATTTCAAGAAAGGCTGCATAGCTGAGCTTGTCCCCCGCTGA